TCAACCCCTCTATTCCTGTGTATCCAACTTGTCTGCTTACAACCGTTCGTCCACCCATTGTAAAGCGCTGCGGAATTTGACGGCGCTCTATAAATATCATAATAATAATCATAATAATAATAATTGTAACACAAGTGACTTCCACAAGGTGTCCTCGGCCTTCCCGGTAAATAAAGATAAAATGTTTATAAAAATGTTTGATTTTTATACTTTCCCTTCAGGTTTTCAATATCGCAAATCAGACTTTAGATCTTCACATTATTTTACTAAAAATACATAAAAGAATCTATTAAAAATAAAAGAGTGAAGGAAGTGAATCTGCTGCTTGGGGAGGGGGCAGAAAACATGGCTGAAAACAGATTTTGTTACCCAATCTCGGGCTACATCAAAGAGGAACTGCAATTTCCAGAAACGGACAGTTGCTTATTTCTTAATCCCAGTAAATGCTACAACACTGCCAGATTTTTATATCCAGCAAAATAAATAAATTAAAATAAAATACAAAGAATGTTTAAATAATTTTAGCATGACTAAAATCATTTATTATTGAGATAATGTTTCATTAATTTAATTTCACATAATTCTCCTAAAAAGGCATAGACAGGGTATTTCATGAAAATGAATTCACTCTTAACACCATTCTAATCTCAACACTTGGGAACATCTCTTTCTCATTCGCTCTAGTAATCATTGGGAATTGTGTGTAAAAGGCCGGCTCTGCTCAAAAGTAGGCAAGAGAACAAGTGCTTGTCTCCGATATACAACAGCTTTCACCATTCACCATGGCCCAGAAAGGCTAAACTGGCTGCATGGGGACTCTCTGGGTTGTCAGACATTCCCCCGAGCTGAATCGCCACAGAGGGTGAGTAAGGAAAGACAGGGAGGCACAATCCACAGGGCATTCTATGCCATCCTATGGTATTAAAGTCCACATTTTCAGGACGGCATAGAACAACATTAAGGGATTATGTGTTCTATAAATCACATTATTACACTAAATTTTTTGTTGATCTTATTTATAAAGGTGTATTAACTCCTAGCCATGATGTATTAACTAGGAATCAACCGATACTGATTTTTTAGAGCCGATACCGATAATCTGTCAACTTTCAGGCCAATTGCCGATATTCTGTACATTTACCATTTGGAAAAAATAAACTATTTCTAAACGTAAACACACAAAATATACATGCCACATGTAGTGGATGCAGTGTGTTTAGACAGGGGAGCTGTGTGTGTTTGTGTAGTGGCTGCAGTGTGTATATAAAGAATGCAGTGAGTGTTTGTGTAGTGTGTATATATAGTGAATGAAGAATGTCTATGTAGTGTGTGTAAAGTGAATGCAGTGTGTGTGTGTAGTGTTTGTAAAGTGAATGCAGTGTGCTTAAAGTGAATGCTGTGTGTGTAGTGAACGTAGTGTGTGTATATAATGAATGCAGAGTGTGTGTGTGTTTGAATAGTGTGTGCATATAATGAATGCAGAGTGTGTGTTTTCTGTAGTGTGTGTATATAATTAATGCAGAGTGTGTGTGTTTGTGTAGTGTGTATATAATGAATGCAGAGTTTATGTGTTTGTGTAGAAACATAGAAACATAGAATGTGACGGCAGATAAGAACCATTCGGCCCATCTAGTCTGCCCAATTTACTAAATACTTTCATTAGTCCCTAGTCTTATCTTATAGTTAGGATAGCCTTATGCCTATCCCACGCATGCTTAAACTTCTTTACTGTGTTAACCTCTAAAACTTCAGCTGGAAGGCTATTCCATGCATCCACTACCCTCTCAGTAAAGTAATACTTCCTGATATTATTTTTAAACCTTTATCCCTCTAATTTAAGACTATGTCCTCTTGTTGTGGTAGTTTTTCTTCTTTTAAATATAGTCTCCTCCTTTACTGTGTTGATTCCCTTTATATATTTAAATGTTTCTATCATATCCCCCCTGTCTCGTCTTTCCTCCAAGCTATACATGTTAAGATCCTTTAACCTTTCCTGGTAAGTTTTATCCCGCAATCCATGAACCAGTTTAGTAGCCCTTCTCTGAACCCTCTCTAAGGTATCAATATCCTTCTGAAGATACGGTCTCCAGTACTGTGTACAATACTCCAAGTGAGGTCTCACCAGTGTTCTGTACAATGGCATGAGCACTTCCCTCTTTCTACTGCTAATACCTCTCCCTATACAACCAAGCATTCTGCTAGCATTTCCTGCTGCTCTATTACATTGTCTGCCTACCTTTAAGTCATCAGAAATAATCACCCCTAAATCCCTTTCCTCATATGTTGAGGTTAGGACTCTATCAAATATTCTGTACTCTGCCCTTGGGTTTTTACGTCCAAGATGCATTATCTTGCACTTATCCACATTAAATGTCAGTTGCCACAATTCTGACCATTTTTCTAGTTTACCTAAATCATTTGTCATTTGGCTTATCCCTCCTGGAACATCAACCCTGTTACATATCTTAGTATCATCAGCAAAAAGACATACCTTACCATCAAGACCTTCTGCAATATCACTAATAAAAATATTAAAGAGAATGGGTCCAAGTACAGATCCCTGAGGTACCCCACTGGTGACAAGTCCAAGCTTCGAATATATTCCATTAACTACAACCCTCTGTTGCCTGTCACTCAGCCACTGCCTTACCCATTCAACAATATTGGAATCCAAACTTAAAGATTGCAGTTTATTGATAAGCCTTCTATGTGCAACAGTGTCAAAAGCCTTACTGAAATCTAGGTAAGCAATGTCTACTGCACCACCCTGATCTATAATTTTAGTTACCCAATCAAAAAAATCAATAAGATTAGTTTGGCATGATCTCCCTGAAGTAAACCCATGTTGTCTCTGATCTTGAAATCCATGTGTTTTTAGATGTTCATCAATCCTATCCTTTAACATGGTTTCCATCACTTTCCCCACTACTGAAGTAAGGCTTACTGGCCTATAGTTGCCCGACTCCTCCCTATTACCTTTCTTGTAAGTGGGCACAACATTCGCTAACTTCCAATCTTCTGGGACTACTCCTGTTAACAATGATTGGTTAAATAAATCTGTTAATGGTTTTGCTAGTACACCACTAAGCTCTTTTAATAGCTTTGGGTGTATTCCATCAGGTCCCATTGACTTATTTGTCTTTACTTTTGACAGTTGAAATAGAACCTCTTCCTCTGTAAACTCACGTGTAATAAATGACTCATTTATCCTTTTTCTCAACTGAGGTCCCTTTCCTTCATTTTCTTCTGTAAATACAGAACAAAATATTCATTGAGGCAGTCAGCCTGACCTTTATCCTCTTCTACATACCTTCCTTCTTTTGTTTTTAATCTAACTAATCCTTGTTTTACTTTTCTTTTCTCATTTATGTATCTAAAAAATGTTTTATCCCCTTTTTTTACTGACTGTGCTATTTTCTCTTCTGTGTGTGATTTGGAAGCTCTTATAACTTGCTTAGCCTCTTTCTGCCTAATCTTATAGATCATTTTGTCTTCCTCACTCTGTTTTTTTTATAATTACTAAATGCTAACTTTTTGTTTTTAACTATTTTGGCCACATCTGCGGAGTACCACAGTGGTTTCTTGAATTTTTTGCTTTTACTGACAAGCCTAATGCAATTTTCTGTTGCCTTCAATAGTGCAACTTTTAAATAATCCCATTTCTCTTGGACTCCATTTAAATTGCTCCAGTCTGATAATGACTCCTCTACCCATATTCTAATTTTAGAAAAGTCTGTTTTCTAAAGTCTAAAACTTTTGTTTTTGTGTGGTGTGACTCAGTCACTGTTCTTATATTAAACCACACTGACTGATGATCACTGGATCCTAAACTTTCACATACAGTAATATCTGATACCAAATCTCCATTTGTTAACACTAAATCTAGTATGGCCTCTTTACGAGTTGGCTCCTCAACAACTTGTTTTAGAGACAATCCCAGTAGGGAGTTTAGAATATGTGTGCTCCTGGCACAAGTAGCTAATTTTGTTTTCCAATTTACATCAGGAAGATTAAAGTCACCCATGATGATAACTTCCCCTTCATTGTCATTTTAGCTATTTCCTCAACTAGTAGATTATCTAACTCTTCAATTTGTCCTGGGGGCCTATAAATCACACCTACACGAGTTACTGTGTGATTACCAAATTCTAACGTAGCCCAAACGGACTCTATGTTTGCCTCACTAACTTTTATTAGGCTAGATTTTATGCTATCCTTCACATACAAGGCCACCCTCCCCCTTTCTTGCCTTCCCTATCTTTCCTATATAAAGAGTACCCTGGTATTGCTATGTCCCAGTCATTTTTCTCATTGTACCATGTCTCAGTAACAGCACTAAATCTACACTATCAGTTGCCATTATTGCCACAAGTTCATGGATCTTATTCCCTAAACTGCGAGCATTTGTAGACATGACTCTAAGCTTATCATTTTTTAACACACTTGATACAGGCACCTTCTGTCCTTGTTTTGGGGGACAATTGGATTGATGTTTTATCACCCTTTTGCCCCCCCTCCTAGTTTAAATACATCCTAGCAAAACCTCTGAACTGCCCACTGAGAACATTTGTTCCCTTTTTGTACAGCTTATCTCCATTCCAAACAGAGCTACCATGAGAAATAAAGCCAAATCCTTGCTCCCGACACCATTCACCAAGCCACAAATTAAAGTCCCTAATACGCATCCGCCTGTCGTTCTGAGTGTTATGCACAGGCAGAACTTCAGAGAATGACAGTGTGAAAGCAACCTGCCGTATATCATTGGCAAAAACACTAAAAACTTCCTTAACCTCTGAAACCTCATTGCAAGCCAAGTCATTTGTCCCTAGATGGACAAGTACATCCAATTCTCCTTCCTGCTTTGCTTGCTTAACAATATTACAGATACGTCTCCTGTCTCTGTGAGCAGTAGCTCCGGGAAGACACCTCACAAGACCACCATTGTCCATCTCCACACCTCTTATAATGGAATCACCCAACAACAACTGTTTTCTATTAGGCCTCACCATAGTCTCCAAGCCGGTCTCCACAACACCACTAGTCTCAGTGCCTCTCTCCACAACACCACTAGCCTCAGTGCCTCTCTCCACAACACCACTAGCCTCAGTGCCTCTCTCCACAACACCACTAGCCTCAGTGCCTCTCTCCACAACACCACTAGCCTCAGTGCCTCTCTCCACAATACCACTAGCCTCAGTGCCTCTCTCCACAACACCACTAGCCTCAGTGCCTTTCTCCACAACACCACTAGCCTCAGTGCCTCTCTCCACAACACCATTACACTCTGAAAGTGCAGAAAATGAATTATGAAGAGCAACAGACTGTGCAAAATGGCTTTTATCCACAACTCTAAGTCTACCAGATCCTACAGTAATCCATCTGCCTTTCCTAGTTTGTCTCTGCGGCAGTGGCTTTGCAGCAGTTCCAGTCTGAGTTTGCTCACCAGATAATTTACAAATCTCAGACTTCAAAAATACAATCTCATGCCGCAAGATAGAGAACTGTCTACAGATTAGACAACAACCAAACCTCCAAAAAGTGGAACGTGAAACAAATGCATAGCAATTGTTACACTGAACTAAGTCTGCCATTCCAATTAGGAGAATAATTTAAATCTAACAAATCTTAACTTTGTATTTATCCTCCTGAATACCTCAGATTACCTCCAGGTTATCTCCAGAATATCTCCAACTAGACACTTAGAAACAGCACTCTCCAGAATATCTCCAACTACACACTTAGAAACAGCACTCTCCAGAATATCTCCAACTACACACTTAGAAACAGCACTCTCCAGAATATCTCCAATTAGACACTTAGAAACAGCACTTAGAAGTAGCACCAAGCTTTATTAGACAAGCTAATGACACCAAGCCTTATATAACTCCTAAAATCACCACCTACTAGGAATGTTTAACACCTGGGTAGGCCTCTGCTTATTTGCAAACAATAGCTAATTAACCAGCAATCAATAGCAAGTAACTAGCTTAATCAAATCAAATGCCTTATAATTACCAACAGGAATTCAAACCTTGTGCAATCAGTAACCTTTTCCTACAGATGAATCTTACCAACAGGAATTCAAACCTTGGGCAATCAGTAACCTTTTCCTACAGATGAATCTTACCTGTAACAGTAGAAAAGAAAGCTCTTAGCACAACTCTTAGACAGTTGAAGCTTCTGTAAAACTCTCCAGAATATCTCCAACTAGACACTTAGAAACAGCACTTAGAAGTAGCACCAAGCTAGCTAGTGTGTGTATATAATGCAGAGTGTGTGTTTGTGTATACACTACACAAACACACGCTCTGCATTATATACACACACTACACAAACACACGCTCTGCATTATATACACACACTCCACAAACACACACTCCACAAACACACACTCTGCATTATATAGAGTGTATGTTTGAATAGTGTGTGTTTCTGAAGAGATGTAATTTGTATAAAATGGGGAGGACATTTTTTATTTTAGTTTTTAATATTTATATGTTTTATATATATATTTTTTTGTCCCTCCTCCATGCTTGTTACCTGGCCAGGGAGAGTGGATATGACAGTCCCTGGTGGTCCAGTGGCTTGTACTGAGCAGAGGGGGGGCCGGCAGCAAGCTGTGACTTACCTTCCCAGCAGCTCCTCCAGCTCCCCAGTGTAAATCTCGCGGTCTGCGTGCCACGCGGAGCCTTGCCATGGTAACCAGTGGCAATGCTCTGCGGCCGCGGGACACGCAAGATTTAGACAGGGGAGCTGAAGGAGCTGCCGGGAAGGTAAGTCACAGCTTGCAGCCGCCCTCCTCCCCAGGACCGCCGGGCTCGTGATGAGCTCGGCAATCCTGTAATGTATTATCAGCAATATCGGTATCTTTATTGGCCGATACCGATATTGCCGAAAATACCAAATACCGGGCGATAATATTGGTAAAACCGATAATCGATCGATCCCTAGTATTAACAATTTACACCTCACCTCTGCATTAAAACCATGCACTCACAGCAATACACCCCTTGTTGTACTGCATAATTAACTTCAAATATGGTGCATTAAAGTGGCTCTGTTACAAATAATAAAAGTAGCGGGTGTTTTATTCGGGGCTAACAATTACATAGTAAAATTAGTCGCAGAGCTTTCCAAGAGTCTCCAGCTCCTGTCAACCCCTCAGAAATGCCCCTCGTTGAGAAACTTGGTATGAACTGTCCCGTACACCATCCTTCATCCCCTGGCCTGTAGGGCTGAGGGTCATAATACTCGCAAGACATAGCAATCACATCACTGGATCAGCAGTGAACAGAATTGCCTCAGTCAGCCATATAGTATTTTTGGTATTATCAGTTGACAGAAGTTAATACACTTTAAGATTTGTCATTAAGACACTCTGTTTTCTTACCATTGTTCTATTATCCACAATTTTGTGTTTATAACTATAGTGCATATTTGGCCCTTATTCAGCCATATGGTATGTTCATTATTGTGCATAGGCGCCCCTCATTCGTCCATATAGCATGTGTAATATTGGGAATATACGGCCCTCATATAGTATGTTTGCATAGTTAGGATTCGGTTTGTATGTATTGCAATAATTAGATTCGGCCACATTGTTGGTACATTTCAGGCATGCATTTAGCCCTTGCTCATTATTCAGCCATATAGTATGTTCATTATTGTGCATAGGCGCCCCTCATTCGGCCATATAGCATGTGTAATATTGTGAATATACGGCCCTCATATAGTATGTTTGCATAGTTAGGATTCGGTTTCTATGTATTGCAATAATTAGATTCGGCCACATTGTTGGTACATTTCAGGCATGCATTTAGCCCTTGCTCATCCATACAAGCAGTTAGAAGGTGCGTATGACCCTAATTCGACCACACTGTCTATGTTCTGCCCTCATTTGGTCATTTCGCATATCTATCATAAACGTAATCCGGCCCTCATTTGGCCTGCACACATACGTTCAAAATTTCAGATGAGGGACAGTGGGCTTGGCTCATTGTTTCTTGTCTGAATTAAAACTTGGCCTACGTTCGGCTAGAATTACTATTTTCTACTAGGCTCATTTTAGAGTCCAAGAACAACCCAAATGATTTATATTACGTAAGTCATCTGCTAGTTCCACCTCAATAACAATAGATGCCCGGAGGTGATTCACTACCTGAACAATTTTGGAGGGTACCAATGGGTACAATATCCCCCACAGCATTAAGCACTGCCTTGTTCTTCAAACATTAAGGACCAGACGTTAGGCCCCACAACTAGTCTGGTTTGGCTTAGAATGGCACTCTACTTTAAAGGTGTCTACTCTCCATGACAGAGATCTGGAGAATTCGGATAGCTTTAGAGAGATTCCTTGCTCAAGGCTCCTGTTAACACAGGGACCTGGGTTAATTCAATTCTTTAATCCCGCAGGGTCATTTATTATTTAAGGTTACACTGCCTCTTTTCAGATCTTTCTGAGGACAACCGTACAGTATCACTCAATCTCCAAGCTCAGGTTGACTTACCCATTTGGCATGACTTTACTAAATTGAAATAGAAAGATCGTGTTCATTCCCCCGTTGACAAACCACTTCCCAGTCATTTGGTATGACAAGTGGTTAAAGATATATAGTCTCCTGAGACAGTTTACCTACCGTTAGTTCATGAAATCTCAGCTCTCTTTGAGGTTACGCTATAATAGCAGCTGCTAATACGTGGGGAAACTTATGGCTATAGCAAGCAGTCAATTGCTGCTTAGTCATGATAGCTCACGATTTGATCAACAACAGCCCTTATTTAATAATCATGAGGATGATTAGAAAATTCATATAGCTAGCAGCTATCCATAAGTTGTATCTGGTTTTTAATGTCTACCAACTGACTCTCTGTCCAGTTATCATTTGCAGGACTTCTTCAAACTTTACCCGACTGTCAGGAAGCACATTAAAACCACAGCCTTCAAAATATGCTTAGTGGACTAGCCTTTTACTGGCCACAACAGATAGCTAACACGAAGTGCCCTGTCTGCAAGCACACAAAAACAAAACAGAGTTCTGCATATATTTAACAGATTTATATCTGACTTTCAGATTACTGAATCTTATTCCATTGACACTAGGGTTGCGTTCGCTTCTTTTTGCCACCTTAGTCTAAACTATCATATAAGTACTAGAAAATGACTTTCCTGTTACTGGTCACTAAAACCAGAACCAGGACTGTCAGCTGGACAAAATATTAGTAGATAATAGATAATTAAATCAAAATTGCCATCAATATGTCGGAATATAGAGAGGGTTCATACGTAGATTCAAGTGATTAAAATAGCCTAAATGGCTCTTCTCCTGTCTAAAGGACTCTTAGACGTAAAGAATCTATTTGAGACTCAGGACTTTAATATAATCAACCATAGTATGTCCATGTCAACAGTAAAAGCGGTTGTGGAATGAGCCTTTAAATTAACTCCTGTAATCTAGATGGAAAAGACAATCAGTCAAGGAGGAACTTTGAATATTGGCTGTATATAAAGTAACACTTGTAGCAAAGCCCGCTGTATCAGAAAAGCTACAATAAGAGTGTAGTTAAGCAATCAGCAATTTAGGATAACAGCATTTAGCTGGATACCAAGTAACATATAATAAAAGGAAAAAAGTCTACATGAAAATTCGTAGATTAATCACAAAATATGTCATAAATGATAAATCTTAAGTTAGTGGTTTCCTAAATCGCTATGGGGTACAAAGAGTATCTGTTGCCCCCTCAAATACATACAGAGCCAGTCCAGATTCCTCAATCAAATAGATAATTCCAATCTAGATAGCATATCAGGAGTGACAGGAGGAAAAGGTGAAAAATTAGGAAATAATAGTGCTAATGTGTAGAACCATGCTTAGAATGCTGGTTACCTACACATCGTGAAATAGTGCCCTAGAAGTGAAAATAAAAAGTGAGTGAAAGTGAAGGAGAAAAACCTCCTTCAACCCGACGCGCGTTTCGGTGCTGTGATGCACCTTCGTCAGGGGGATGTACATTGAATGCACTGTACGTTAGTTCTGCCACTGTGCAGCAGCTTCCCCAGCACACAGGACCCTGCATGGAAGATAGCCTCCCCCTACGCAAGCTCCGTCCCCAATCTCTGACTGAGACACACACTGACAGACATTCACATATTCTGACAGACATACAGTGACATGAACACACTCTCTGACTGAGACCCACACTGAGTCACATACACACACAAACACACATTTTCTCACAATTCTGTTTTTTTTTATTTAAGTCCACCAAGCCTCCCTACCTTTGGGAGAGCTGAGTGGATCTTTCCCTGGCATCCAGTGTGTCTCCTCTCTAATCTTCCTGCAGTTTCTCTCTGCAACCCTGCGCGCTCTCTGTAGTGATGCCGGGGCCGGGGTTATGTCACTAAACACAAGCGAGAGAGCAGAGAGGTACTGCAGGAAGGTTACTGCCCCCTCGCGCGCTGCCTCCATGCTCCCTGAGGCAGCTCGCTTTAATGTTTCCTGGCCAGCTTAGCAAAGAGCTGACACACACACACATATATACACCTTTTATAACTGTCCCCTTACTTTTGTCCCTGGGATCTTATGTACCCCCCGTAAGCATGAATCCTGGAGATGCCACTGGTCTTGGTGCCTTTTAGCATATATTCCAGTATGGCTATTTTGACCTTAAAGGCACTCTTCAGTGCCAGGAAAACATACCGTTTTCCTGGCACTGCAGGTCCCCTCTCCCTCCCACCCCCCACCTCAAGTTGCTGAAGGGATTAAAACCCCTTCAGTGACACGGCGCTGTGTCAGGCTCCGCCTATGCTTCTCCCTCGGCTAAGTCATCCGGTGGGGGAGACCCATTGCGCATCGGCGCCCGCCGGTGGGGGAGACCTAATGCTTTCAATGCTTTCCTATGGGGAATTTAGCGACGCTGGAGGTCCTCACATAGAAAATCTGTGCTATAAACCAGGAAGTGCAATCTAGTAGACAGCCACTAGAGGAGGAGTTAACCCTGCCAGGTAAATATTGCAGTTTATGAAAACTGCAATAATTACACTTGCAGGGTTAAGGGTATTGGGAGTGGTCTGGATGCCTGGAGTGTCCAGTTAAATTTAAAATTCACTTAGAATTCACATTGCATTCTTGCTGTAGTAAATAATCCTGACATACTTTTTAGTATTGGAGGTTGGAGGTTTTAGTTTAGGGCAACTGTTAGCATGTGGTCCATTGAGCATTGTTCTAGGTCTGTTTAAGTCAAGGATGTCAAACTCGCGGACCACGGGTCGCATGCAGCCCATAATGACGTTTATTGCAGCCCGTGGCCCAGCCATACAGGAGTGCACAAAAATCGATTGTCAGACTGACAAGTGATTTTTACGCCCGCCTCGGCCTGCATTTCTTCCGCCCACAGGCAGAGTGCGGCTCCATAAGGGAACCACATGCACAGTACACTGGGAGGGGGGAGCACCACCCCCTCCCATTCTGCCTAAGAGCGCCGGGTGTCACGTGACTAGCGCTGGCACTGTGAGAGAAATAGCTGCCTGCCAGGTATGAATGGAAGGGGTGGGAGGGAAACATGAGTGGGAGAGATAGGAATGAAAGGGGGTAGGGAGATTTCAATTAGAAGATGTGGGAGGAGAGATATGGAAGGGAGGGAGAGATGTGGGGGCAGAGATATGAAAGGGAGGGAAAGATGTGACCACCCCCGGGCTAGCCCCCTTGACATTGTGGCAGGCTTATGCAATATATAATCATATAATGTAACTAAACCCCCATTATTTTTTGCCTAGGTGAGGTGTTTTTAAATAAAGCTATTACAATCTCTAAGATTTGAAATCATTGTTTAGTGAATAAGCAAGTGAGCTGGATTTTGTATTTTAAAGGAAAATGAAACGGCTTACCGTGCCTTAGCGTGGCAGGACTAAACGTTAGATGGAGTAAAGAGTGGTCAAAATACAAGCCAAGGTCTGGATAACGTTGTGACAGTGAAAACGAGAAATAGCCAGAGTCAGGTACACTGTAATTAGTCAGATGGGAAAGCAAGACAGGCAAGGGTTAAAGAGAGTCAGGAAACAAAGCCAAGGTCAATACCAGAATACAATACAACAACTAAAGGAATGCAATAAAGGGTACTGGGAACGAAAAAAACCAATAGGGCACAGTATCTAGAGCCAGGTAAGTTTAAATAAACCTTTATTTAATTTGTTTGGTTCCCAAAACGTGCATGAATGGGGGTGATGGAACTACGTGGGCCAATGGAAGATGACCGCAAGGTTAGGTCCCATTTCCCCTTTAAGAATGTGGTGGTGGTGATGCAAGCAACATTCTTAATAATACAAAAAGAGAAGTCCTGCGCTTACTCCCGTCACTACTGGGTCGGCAGCAATGACTACAGTACACATCAGCCCCAATATATAGTATATAGTTTAAATAAGAGAAGTACATGCTACACAAATTAAGGGTTTAACCGTAATCTCTAATTTAAGTTTTAGCCTAGGTAATTAATTAATTGATGTTGTATTGATCCTTGTGTTTGTATGATTGTAGAGACTGTCCTGGAGTGTTTGTGCCGCCTGATTTCTGGGACTACACACCAATCTCTCTGGCTGACCATGCAATAAGTATTTTGCAATTACATGTGTTTGGTCATAATCCACGCAGGCCGAAGAAACTGAGATACTTACTTATGAGGACATAAACTTTGCATGCAAGAACCTGGAAAGTCCTGAAGGTGCAGTACTGTCTAATACCGCTGGTTCTGTAATAACCCTTTCAACCATTGGGGTTTTGCACAGAGCATTGTGGTGAAAATCCAGCAAACAAAAGAAGAACTATATGGAAGCTGACATTGTCTTGTTGTCAGCCATATTGCTACCCTTAGCCATCTTATGGAACAAAATGTCTGGTGTCTAAACTGATTTTTTTATACTCTGTGAAAGACATTCTATTTTTCTGAACTATGCTGAACTATTGAACTATTTCTAGTTTTATTTTTGTAGAGTTAGCCGGAGAGAGAGGAAGTGTTAGCTGACCCAGGGATGGATGTACTATGTGTGTCTTTGATATATGTTGAGTGTGCCAAGGATGGATTCCCATGTTTTGAGGAACTGCGTGAAGATATGACTGGTTTTGACTGGACCTTTGGAATAGGGGAATGGTTAAAAGATATAGGACGCAAGATCCTGGTTGTGATTTCAAGCTAGAATTTTGTTACGGGCAAATGCAAATATTACAAGTTTTAGAATGAAATGTTGTATTCCTTAAACTGTGTACTTTGTCTTTAAGAGATATTGCAAACTGACAAGGTGTTAGAAATGGAACATATTGTTTTTCATAACTGTTTCTTTAAGCAATAACCTCAGTGCATAATATGTTTGCGCCATTTTGTCCCAGACGAATTACAATAACAATAATGCATAAACAAGCTTCAAGGCTATTCTACGACACTTGCAGTACACAATATACTGTGGTAACCCCAAGTTAATGGAACTTCCCCAAATCCGGGAATCTCCCACGACTGTACACTTACGACTTAGTATAAACAACAGATAACCTATTCAGACTTTAAGATGTCATCTTGAACTAAGTCAGGAAAATTTCCGTGACGTATACACCCTTTAGTTATGGCCTTGTATGTTTGCCAAGTTAAGGGAGGTCCTAAAATGAATAAAGTAAATGAACTATGGTAAATTTAAAATGGAGACACCTAAGGTATAAATAGGTGTACTTTTAAATGTTAAGACACAGAGGAGAGACTTGGAGACAGACGCTGCTCCATCTTAAAATGACAGAGAGGCTGACATGATGACATGTTCAGAAGGGTATGTTAACCTATTAATGATATTTGCAAGCATGTAATATAATCTTATAAACTCTGCTATAATGGATTTTATATTTTTATATAATAAATATCCAAAAGACAATCTTGCTTCCAAGACAATCCTTATTTTATATTGTATTCTCAATTATTTATATATGTTAAATAGAGGATCTCTTACACTATATAAAATTATGGCTAAGATATCTGTATGGTTAGCCCTACTAAGTTCTATGCTTTAAGACATTATAGTGGTAAATAAGGGAACCACCAGCGGTTACAATTGGCGACCACGAAGGGACTTTGTACTTGGAAGCTTTAAATATAAAATAAATACCTAGGTAACCTCTTATACGTAAGAGAAGACACAATACTTTGTCATGGCACAAGTCTTGAAATATCAAGAATCTATTGAGCTATGTGTAGCCCAGACTCAGAGAGAGATCTTCATCATTAGAGATGATTTTAATGTGAACAAGGCACTGTGAGTTCAGGTGCCAGGTACAATGTAATTAGCATACAATGCTGAAATTGTGGATCTTAACTAATATCATAATAGAACAAATATACAAATTTGGTAAACTCCCTGATATGCCTAATACACCAGCACAGCATGGCCCGTTAGTTCCAGGACAGTGGACTGCAGACAGGGGGATATGTTCTCTTTGTAGCTGCTTAGTATGCATGCGCAGGAAAAAGATTCATGCAAAATGTTGTCAAAAGAAAAGTGATAAGACAGAGCAATGAAATTTGGAGTCTAATTCCAAGAAAGCAAAGAAAATTGCATTATTGCGTTCTGGATTCTAATGTCCACTATATATGAAAAGTTTTGTAAAACAGTGATATTTTCCATATTGTCAGTTCGCTAGCTGTTGATTAAAAATCAGGAATTATAATAGCATAACTATTTTTGGAGTGTGGAATTTCCAGCCAAGGTTGCGGAGATACAGAGACATGTAAACATTCCAAGGAATTGAGAAGTCGTTGTTTTATATTCCAAATTATGAACAATATTATTACTTACAGCCGTAAAGAGAAAGACAAGGCTTTTAAATAAATTCAGTGCAGTACAATGCAGTACAATGCAGCATATATTTTATATAATATATAACTAGCTCATATTTTTTCCTAAACAGAGTTGAAATTATACTACCCTCCTAGAAAAAAGGGCAACAGGTGGTTATACATCCTTTGCTTCTCTAAATGCTCTGCAAAAATAAATATTGATAAAATGATTAAAAATAATATATATGTAAGCTAAATCAGGGCTAAATAAAATTGTAACTATATAGGATCTCTAATAACTTTTAAACTGAAATTATTAAAGGCTTATTTAAATAAAATGTTAAATACATTTACAGCTTTAAATGTGACCAAAAGATACTAAATGATGTGTTAAGCAGCCAGCCCAATTCACTAGAATAGCATAAGTATTCTACTATTTAAAGTGCACAATTCCTGCACATAATGACTTTGCTTACTCAGGTACAGTCTTTAGTCTATTGCAATGGCAGTAAAGTCCACCGATTTTAAAAGGGAAAGCTTACTTAAATCAGTGGTACTATCCCACCGTACTAGCAGTAAGGAAATTAGAACAATTATATTGTACTACTGACTGTAATCAGATCAGACACATGTAATCTCAGTGAATTTCATAAACTAGGTTTTCATAAAACACGATTAAATAAATGTATAGAGACTAAGCATTAAGAGCATTTACATGCATTCAGCAGCCTGCTCTCAAAGTCAGAAACAGATTTAAAAAATAAAATAAACAATAGGTTTTAAAAACTCCACAGTCAACCACACATGAACGGTGAAATAATTGCTTCTTTAAAAGCTATATGCTGCTGCAATTATGCATTTAAATACTGATCAGGGCACAGCGTAGAAATAAAAATACAGTTTCAAATCTCATATATGGGGATTCAGGTCTACCACATATTCTACAATTCGGAAAGAGGCTAATTTTAATAATATGTTGTAAGAGCATTGTGAATATATATACTGCAAACTTAATTTGATATTGCAAAGCCTGCAATATTCTAAACAGACATTACAATTTAAGAAAAGAAAAATAATAATGCATAAAGAATAATGCATAAAAAAAATGCAGTGTCAATTAAAGTGATAATACTCTGATATATTAAATCACATTGCATATCACATATCTGCTATATGAAAAGTATAATTAAGGTGACATTACTGTCCAATGCCCCCTCACATCTATTTTATAGAATCTATACTTTTCAGTGGTCACCTCCAAAGAAGCCTCTGAAACTGGGGGGCTCAGAGGGGTGCTCATCCCAAAAGGAATCAGATTCCAGACTTAAAGAAAAAATAAATGATAGAAAAGGAATCACGGAACACCCAGAACATGCATTTTTGTATATAATCTTAATTTGCAGATATTTTATGCCTTAAAGACATATAAAGGATATTTAATTAAATATGCAGGTATCTTTAAAAATTAAGCAATGTTAAAAAATAAAATAAATTAATAATAATAAAAATATATAAACAGTCACAATATAAACAGCTTTGTTAAACAGATTTAAGTACAAGTACTTATGACAAGAAATATACAGAATACGTTTACAACAGGCAGGTTTAGCATAAATGCAAAGTTGTTGTTTTTGGGGATTTATTATTGCCCAAGAAATCTCTGAACATATTCAGAATTTTTGAGAGCAGCAAGTATAGATAGCAGATTGCAATGGACACCATTACAATATTGCTTTGCCGATTGAGGTCAGAGCTTTAAAGAATAAATAAATAAATGTTCTATAGCTCGCTAGATCACTGGCTTTTAATGAACAGTTTGCACAACACTTATAAAATAGTTTGTAATACTGCACATTATAGCTGTGACAACATAATACACATGGTAACAATGCTATGTCACTGTTTAATAGACCTACCCAGTATTTAAGGACGACATGTTTCTTGCAAAGTCGTCGGGACTTTGAGGGAGGTTCTAACTACGTTTAATTAATTAATTAATTTACTAAAGAAAAAAAAAAAAGAAGGTTTTGTTTTTCCCCTGCAAGTGAATTTTCAGCGCAAGGTAATTTTGTGTTCACAGACTATCTGGTTTTAAAAAAAAGCTGTTCTTTATCTCACATTATGAACGGCCTTGTAATTCCTATGCACACTAAAAGTTGGCTTGTAAATGTTATTGTTTTAACTTTAATATTTCATAGTTAATACAGAGGATAAAGTAATATATTGAAAGTATAGTAATTGATAAGATTTCATTTATCTATTTTGGTCCACTGTTCACTGATCTCGAGTCTCAGTCTGGAGTTCAAACAGTTTTTCTTACGATACGTCGTGAGTTTATATCCACAACTGCAATTTGCTTTGTGGTAACAAATTGAAAGCCTGGCATTGTAATACGTGTATGGACATGCTTATAACAAAGCATGGGTCCTCTCCTCATGTAGTTGGTCTGTAACAGGCACTTTGATGCAATGTGTCTACCAACGCTTTTCTGTGGTCACTGGATCACATCGCATACCCTATCTCTCAGTCATGATGCAGAGTTTATGCTTGCAAGGATATCCAGACCTCATCCACCTGGTATCCGTATAAATACTCCTATCGTTTAGAGGGGTTAATTACATAATAACCATTGAAGGTAATATGTTGGTTGTTCTTCCTATAGAGGAAAGATGGACTTGCCCTAAAAGCTTTTTTATGGCTAGGACGAGCTCTTATAGAGAGAGATAATGTACTTCTGACTCCTGAAAAGGAATATTAGTGGTCCAATATGGGAAATACCGTAATTCATGTGTTTACTAATCATAAGCATTTGCTTATTGCCACATTACTGATGTACTGTTTATTGAAAAATATCTAACATACTTTTTGAATTACTATATATTGGAAGTTTGCCAACATCTCATGGTTATAAATATGTTTTTGTATGTGTTGATGCATGTACCAGGTTTACTTGGATATATCCTGTGCGAAGTGCAACCTCTGATGCCACGTTTTCTAGTCTCAGTTCCTTAGTATGCATTTGATAATCCCAGGACCATCCATTTGGATGGTGGTCCTGCAGTTACTGCAAAGGAAACCTAAAACTGGGCAACCACATTTGGGTTACTTTGGGATTTCAGTGCCTCAACCACCCCCAAAGAAGTGGGGTTGTGGTCTGGGAAAATGCTGAGGTTAAATGATTATTAACCAAGTTACTAGTTGCTTGCCCCACACAGTGGTATCTATTTATTCCCATGGTACAGATGAGCATTCACAACATACCTGATGATACAAATGGTGAGACACCATATGAAATGTTACACGTTTTTCACTGACAAACATATTTCTGCACCAGGGAGAGCTTAGAACCATTGGTTCTATTAGAGAAATTTAGGGAATTTTTTTTCCAGCCCACCTCGTCTTGCACCACCACCTATTTCCTTCTGTTGGCCAGCTTGTCCTGGAGAGGGTGACTCCGAGAACTTTTACTACAGAGAACAATCAGAGCCAACAGAGAACAGTGAATTTGATATTTTGCAACCTGCTAAAATACTTCCAAGACATTCACAGAACCACTGACTGACACAGTGGATGCTGTTAAAGATGGCAAGATAAATCAGAGGACGACAGAAAAGCCACCAGAATCATAGCCACGTAACAGACTGAATCATGATCTGACATCTGAACCTGCAAATGTGAAGGAGAAGGATGGACAGACAGACGTGATACATTCACAGTTAACATGGAATGTATGAAAAATGAATCAACATTATTATCAGAAAGACTCTCGAGAAAACAGACTGTACCTGAATTATTTTATACAGTAAGAAAGAAATGCAAAGATGGAAGCAGAAGGATGCTAGAAAATTGGTTATGGTGTCTGCTTCTTACAATCTGCAGCATTATCATAACATCAACCCTAGCTGTCGTTTTAAAACTGCATTGGGATTATGTTAACAAGCAGGACTATATAACACACTATACAAGTTCTTTTGATCGTGAGGACTACCTCCAAGAACCATCTCAAAAGGAGAGACACATCTCACAGTGAAATGATTGCTAATGTGACCCACACTCAGGGCCGGACTGGCCCACCGGGATACCGGGAAATTTCCCGGTGGGCCGTCGGCACCTGGGGCCGGCCCTTTAAATACTGCAGCCGCCTGTGCGCTCTGTGAAGAGCCTCAGGCGGCTGCAGCTTCTCCCCTCCCCTGTAGCGTGGCCAAGCTGCACTACGGTCCGCCGTGGCCGGCCGGCCGGAGTGATAGGAAAGTGCACACTCAGTGTGCACTTCCTGTCAGTCTGGCCGGTGACAGGAAACAGAAACTCCTGTTCCGCGCGGAGTTTCTGTTTCCTGTAACCGGCCGGACTGACAGGAAG